CGTCGCCGGGTTACAGAGATAAAAAAAAATAGTTCTCTTGCTGATAGATTTTTTTTTTTACTCCTGTGGCAGTGGAGACTTCTGGGGTTATTGGCCCTCGTTCGATGGCGTTCCTTCGGAGTATTGGCGCGATGACGTCTCGATCAAGGGATGAGCCTCACAAAACAGAGTGGCTCTTGCAGCGTGTCTCACTGGCCATGGTTCGGGGTAATGCTTTCTCTATCATTGCGGCTGGCAGAGGATAGAAAAAAATTGTTTATAGTTAAAAAAAAAAAAATTTCAGCCTTCATTGGTATCTTTTTGCTGATCCACTTTGCCACCCAAATACATTTTTGTCCCTTAGAAAACTTAAGAAGCTGAGATCGACTGGTGAAATTTTTCATAGCTTTTTGATATTGATTAGTTTAGTCTAAATTCCTCTATCCTTTTCAAGTGTATTGTCCAAACATTTGAGATCTAGCATTTTTGACTATATTTCTGGGCATTATAAATATCAGAGGACAGACAATATATGGTGGTTAGTCTTCTTAAATGTATTTAACAACCGATATATACGTTCAGATCATGAGTTATGTCATCATAAAAATGTTATAATGCCGATATTTAAAAGAAAAAGAAAACACTCGTGATCTTGATAATGGCCACAATTATGTTAATCGATAAATACCCACCGTAAAATCCAGTATAAATTATATATAAAAAATACAGTATTAATTACAGGTTTATAAAAATTCATTATTAATTATATATATATATATATTTTTTTATCTATAACCCATTAAGACCCACCATCCAAAAAATGTCACGATAACCATTAGTGTTAAAAGTGGTTACTGAGAGTGAAAAAGAATGAAAAGATTTTACAATGAATCGGAAACCTGATCCTAAACAGGAAGCATGGGATAAACCCATACTCCTGTTAAAGAGACCGAGGAGGAGTCTGAACCGGACTAACCTGTCTAATCCTATATAGACTGCCGCCGCTTAGTGTTGACTTTAATGTCCACTTTTATATTTAGATGCGCTCTATATTTGATTTTGAGCACTTCTACCCATAAGTATAACATACCTTAAAATTATATTTTTATTATATATATAATAATTCCTTACTATCCGCTGTTTTATTATATATATAATAATATTTTAATATATATAACAATTATATAACAGTATTTTATTATATATATAACAATATATATGTAACAATACATTATTATATATATAACAATTCCTTCTTACTATCGGATGTAATGTCTTTTAGGGTGGTCATGGGACTGACTAACCAGTTTTGTTGCTACGAAACCCTTTTCCACTTCTGTCGTCGAAAATCTCATTTGAATATTTTGAATATCAATGGAAAGTGTAGTGTTAAAATATCGAACGAAGTGAATATACATCCTTCTGCAAATTAATTGAAACAACCGCTTTAGTTTCCTTTCTTTCACCATTCGGTCAGTTTTAGATTCACTGGAATAACAGGGTATAATCGATTTCTATTTTTTTTCTTTGATTAGGTCATTTGCAGTGGTGTGCAGTAATATGAATTTATTTTCGGGGTGTGTGATGAAATTTGTTTGGCCTTGAAAAATATTGCGTTATCCGTGATTGCATCAAATTTTTATCACGCCCAGACACTATTCTCTCGACTGTCGATTAGTTGTCCTGTGGCCAGTGTCTGCGATGGACGTTACTCCAAGGAAGCGTAGAAAATTTGTAACGCTGCACGAACACAATGGCAAGCCTTACCAGTGAGCAAATCAAAGTACTAGACTGGCCGGGAAACTCTCCTGATTTAAATCCAATCAAGAATCTGTGGTCAATCTGCAAGGAACGACTTCGTGGAATAGACATACGAACTACTAACATGTGCACTGGGTCATGTTTCATTGGAAAAATACGAAAAAAAGTAAATAATAATGGAATTATTAATTTTGTTTCAATTAATTTACACAAGGGTGTAGATTAGAGAACAGATAAGGATAAAAGATATGATGGGATCAACCAAATTGCTAGTGTGCGAGATACATAGCGAGAAGATGGAACAAATACTTGAATGGTGCCCAATCGATAATAAACGCGGTAGGAAAAGACAAAACAAAAATGGAGAGATGCTGGAGAGGGTTGGCTGATAAGACAAGGCAAAGGTTAGGAGAGGAAGAAAATTCGTTCAGCTTGATGTATATGGAAGGGGTCCTGAAAAATTCTCGCGAGAAAGGATTTAAAGAGAAGATTCTGATGTTTATTCAAAGATGAAGAGGGTTGGGAACTTTTCAGCACCCCTAGCACCTGTTTCAAACGAAATTGTTTAAGAACAACATGTTTTAACGTCTGATTTTAAGTTATAAATCGAGTTGGTAGTTGATAGTCACAGACCAACTATTTTACTAACACTATAAAAATACTCTACTATATAGATTAATTTGTATTATTTTGTTTTTTGTGTATAAAGTCTATATTGTATTTATTATTGCGTATATTTTATTTTTTGTATATAGATTTTATATTGTATTTTTGTTTTTTATATATAGAGTCTATATTGTATTTAGTATTGTCTATATTTTATTTTTTGTATATAAATTTTATATTGTATTTTTATTTTTTTGTATATATAGTCTATATTGTATTTATTATTGTCTATATTTTATTTTTGCATATAAATTCTTTATTGTATTTTTTGTTTTTATATAGAGTCTATATTGTATTTATTATTGTCTATATTTTATTTTTTGTACATAGATTCTATATTTGCCTTTTTTGTTTCTTGTATATAGAATCTATAGTGTATTATTGTCAATATTTTATTTTTTGTATATAATTTATTTATTGTATTTTATTTTTCGTAGAGTCTATATTGTATTTATTATTGTCTATATTTTATTATTTGTATATAGATTCTATTTTTGTTGTTGTTTGTATATAGAGTTTATATTGTATTTATTTGTTTATATTTTATTTTTTGTATATATATTCTATATTGTATATATATATTTTTTTTTTATATAAAGTCTATATTTTGTTGTATATAGAGTCTATACACAATGATTGTACTCCAGAAGCGGTGAAATAACTTCAATGAGAAAACTGAATAAAAATATTTAAAGAAACAAAATAACACAGTTGTTTAACTTACATGAAACAAGTCCCGGTGAAAGTAATTTTTTTTTTTGGACATTTAAGAAATTTGTATGAAACATAACAAACAACAAACTTTCGAATAATTTACATATATTTTCTTGAATTTCATAATTTTTTTTTCTCTTACTGTAATTTCAATAGGTCAGTTTCTATTAAATGTCCATAGAACACAGAGGTATGTGTACAATTGATCTTTGTAGATGGCGCTCTTTAAAGCACGCCCAGTGGTGTATCGTTGCTTTCATTTGATTGTGTGTGTGTGTGTGTGGTCTTAATGTATTTTAAAATTGGAACAATATACTTACTGAATAAAAATGGGTTTCATTAAACTTTTTTTTTAACACGTTTCGTTCTCCATTCGTTCGCGCATCCATTCTTATATTTTCATTTGCTAATCATTCCGAGTGTTAGCGAAAAATGACTGAATATTTATTTTGTCTTTATATTTTTGCAAGTCATGGCAAATAATTTAATCACTTTGAAACAGAAATAAATGAAACGATTTTGAATTTGTGTCAGATTTGGGCAAAGGAAAATAAAACAATATTTCAATTTTCTATTAAGAAAATAAAATAAAATAAAATAAAATTATTATTTCAATTACTTTCCATCGCAATTCTCTGGCCGTTTTTATATTTATTTTTAAAACAGTTAAGCAAGCAACATGAAACGAAAATAAGGAATAAGCTTCGGGCGAGATTTGTTTTCGCATCCATTATCCTTGGAAGTCTTTTCAGACTGGACAGCGCCTACGAAAGCTAACCAACAGACGTCATTAAGAAAAAAATGAAAGAGAAACAAATGAAATATTATTAATTATAAATATTTTTCAGCTTAAGAAGTTAAGAAATAAATAAAACAAGCTGGCTAAAAGAACGATTAATAAATAGGAAAAATTTCGTTTTAAGTTTTGAATCAATGTATATGAAAGTAAATTTAATTTTTATTTCGCATATTTTATTATTATTATTATTATTATTATTATTATTAGTAGTAGTAGTAGTATTGTAATAATAGTAGGGCAGTAAAACTGAAAACAGTAACTCTTTCTTATATATCAGTTTTAGAAAACACAGTTCTATATGAACTGACAATAAGATAAAAAGAAGTAACTTTTTATAAAGTGTGTACAAATCGCTGTCTAAATTTTGGGGCGTTCGTTGTATTGTTCGAATCATTTTATTCATCTTTGTTGATATTTTGGCCAATAAATTTTTCAGCCTTCCTAATATTTTAGCTTCGCCTATCACTCAATTCACACTCCTTCATCGTCTTTGGAACAGGAGTAGTGGTTTATCCCTTGTTTCCGGTTTAGGATTGAATTTCCGGTTCCTTCTAAAGTCTACTCATTCTCTTTCACTACCAGTAACTCTTTGCGTCTTAGTGGCATTATCGACTTGCTTGGGGTAAATTGATTAAAAAAAGTTCCAAGATGTAGAATTTTCATTATTTTGTATATTATTCGTGTTATTGTCTTCTTGTCTGTTGCTATTAGCACAAGGTTTCGGTCGGCACATTCTTCAGTCTTTCTCAACACGACTGTTGTATTTAGTCTTTAGAATATTATTTTTATTTTTTATTCATCATTGGCTGGTTGATTATTTTTGTTTAGCGGCATATCAACATCTCTATGGGTTATTTACTGCCGAAATCTGAATATTTTCTACGCAATTTTATTTTACTTTTTTTTCGTGATACAAGTCTTACTAATTAACTCATAGCTGTGGGAAGAAGAGTTGGATTCATACCTTTTCCAAGGATATTTGTACGTAAGTGAATATAACGAACCCAACTGAAATTGGAACATGGCGCTATGATTAACAATTCCGAACCATTATCTATTGCACTACCGGCACATCCAAGTTTCCAGCACTTGGTATGCCCAAGCGGTCACCCATCTAAGTAGTGACCAGGATTGACGTTGCTTAACTTTGGTGATCGTACGGAAACCGGTGTTCTAATGTAATGTGCCTGTAAACTATTTCTTCTGGCACATCCAAGCTTACAGCGACTAATATTCCTAAGCATTTACTTATCTATTTATCTATCTACGGAACAGGCTCGACATTGCTTAACTTCAATGATCGTACGGGAACCAATGTTTCAACGTGATGCGGCCGTAAGCCCTTCATCATTGTGATAACCCCCCCACCAAAAAAAAAACAAAAAAAAAAATCACTCCTAACACAAAAACATTATACTCACTACATGATTCTTTTGCATTGGTTTCCTCTGATTAAAAAAAAAAGTGCAAAGCGAATTTTAACACCGGGGGCCAAAGAATGTAACGGCCGGAACGTTGTTTTCTACCAACGAAAACAATAATCTAAGTAAATATATATATATATATATATATATTAAAGACATATTTTTATGTTTAACGTTGTTATTTTATAGATACAAGTATTTAAGCAAATGCTCTGTTTATGATAAACAGTATTAAATAACATTTACCGGCCTGAATGTCCGAGAAATTTTCATAGAAAATTTTCGTTCTTTGACAGGATTCGAACCTGTATCCTATACGGAACCGTCATATACGCTGACGTGCCTTTACCGTTTGAGCTACAAAGAACCAATCGGTAGACAAGGTCGAATTTACTGCTTATAAACTCCAATTTTCTATGAAAATTTCTCGGACATTCAGGCCGGTAAATGTTATTTAATACTGTTTATCATAAACAGAGCATTTGCTTAAATACTTGTATCTATAAAATAACAACGTTAAACATAAAAAATATGTCTTTAATAAATAAATTGTCGGACCTTGTCCATTTCTTAATATATATATATATATATATATATATATATATATATATATATATATATATACATGGTGTCCATAAAGTTCGTGTGCATTTAAAAAATTATAACTTTATTTGTATTTGAGATAGAAATGATTTGTAAAAAGGATTAGAAAGAAGCAAATCTATATTTTTTAAGGTTTTTATTGAGATTTTATTTAAGTTTCCACATGTCCTCCATCATTAGCAATACAAAGGGTAATACGATTTTGCAGTTCACGGAAAACATTTGCCAACTGATTTACAGTAATGCCTGGAATCACATTAGTTATTTTAGCTATACTTAAAACTAGGTACATTAAACTTTATAACATGTTTTACAAATTATTTCTATCGCAAATTCAAATAAAGTTTTAGATTTTTTAAATTGCACACGAACTTTATATATATATATATATATATATATATATATAAATTTGAGATGACGTATTCTAACTATTTACAGTATTTACATTGTTCAGCTGTTGTCCCTATCTTTATTGTCATGTACCCGACGTTTCGGCCGTTGTACGCTCCGGCCTTCTTGAAGTGATATACGTTGGAATTTCGAACCGAAACTTTTAAAGGGTTCGCTTCGAAATTCCAACGTATATATATATATATATATATATATATATATATATATATATATATATATATATATCGAGGTCTGATAAAAATATCGGGACTGGTGCTATAAAAAAAAAACTATAACACGTATCAATTCAGTATTTAATCTCCTTCGAAGTAGTCCCCTTCTGAAGTCACACATTTTATCCAGCGTCGTTTCTATTCATATAAGTATTCCTGGCGCTCCTTTTGTGGGCTAGCGAGTAGCTGCCTCGTCGGATTCTCTTGGATTTCATCGACGACTTTAAATCTTGTTCACTTCAAATTGGATTTGATTTTTGAATCGGAAAAATTTGGGGAATATAGTGGTTGTCGAGCCTGAGGAATCTTGTAGCTCACCCAAAACTGGTGCACAAACTGATGGAACTTTGCGGTGTGGTAAGACGACCACAGTACACACTTTCCTTCCATGCACAACGGAAGTGAACGTGGTCATAACTTAGTGCAACAGCGTTCAAAGTCAATATGTACCAAGCGGCTTCATTCTGCGTATTTTAGCTCCGTTACAATAAAAATAGTTCTGACATTTTTTTATCAGACCTCATATATATATATATATATATATATATATATATATATATATATATATATATATATATATATAACGTTCAATATCTATCTATCTATCTATCTATCTATCTATCTATCTATCTATTATAATACTTTTAAAAGTCATCATTCAAAAAAGGTTAACTACACAGATATGGGCAATCCACCTATTTCTATATAGTGAATTGATCTGGTAAGGTTATAGAAATAGAATATTTTGTTATTTTATTTTAAATGATTTTTAAAATTTTCATTTTAAAGTTAAAAATTTTCATTTTAAAGTTAAAAATTTAAACTATTAAATGTTTTATTGTCATTCTGTGAAAAAAATCACTTAAACTACAACTGGCTCTCTAGATAAATACATCTTTCAATATGTATGTATATATTACAATAACTTACATTTATTATAATTGTTTTCATTTATATGAATGAAACAGGGCAGAAAATCAATTGTTACCTTAATTTCAGAAAGTATTGAACGTAAACAAGAAAATGCAGATTAACATAACGATTTTTATATACGTACAATGCAATTGAAAAGTTAATTAAATATGCCGTCATTATTTTGACAAACATGAGTGAACAAAATTGACTTTGTCGTCTTCGCTCAAACACATAAGTTTCAGAACTGACTGTGTCAGTCGAGCCATTGTTTTAATAACAGCAATAATGAATAATACAGTTGTTCAAATAAAATTGTCGTCTGCATAAAGTGGCGTGATATTTTGGTTTCTGTTTTTGTTTTTGTCATACATATTTGGTTTATTATTTTAATTTTTACAAACTTATTTTAAAATGTTGATAAACTTTGAATCGTTTCGGAATAGATAATTTTCTGATATTAAAGAAAATGGACACTCAAAGATACGCAAAAATCACATTCTTCAAATTTCCCATGATACTTTGCTGAAAAAGGAATGTTTCGTAATCGAAATCTGGAGACAGTCGACTGAAATTTATCTAAATGCATATTTAGCTCCAGCTTGAGAATTTGAAAACTTTACAAATTTACTAAGAATTTATTTCTAGCCTTTTACCTGGTCACTTAACTAAATTAATAAACTTTTCTGTAGATGCCTTTCAAATTGAGTGTGAAATTGAATACATTATTGATATTTACAAAGTTGTAAATGTGAAGAACCCTGTAGGAATCGAACTCACTAAAGTGGTAATAATCCGCGTGACTAGCTTATTAAACACTGTGCCATGGCGATATAAAGATATTTACTTAGATTAACTTCGTCTCGTACAAAGTCATAATTGTGGGGCATTCATTGCGGATCAAATTCACTAGGATAGTAATAGTCTGTGAGCCCTATGGCGAGACGCCCAATATATTTATCAAGATTAGTCTGGCACAAGGTCTCAAATATGTAGCACCCAGGGAGAACCGAACGCACTTTAGGAGGTATGATCTGCTAACTATTACGCCACAGCGAGGTAACTTAGTTATTTTACAAGCACGGTTTAATCTGGCACAAAGCCACAAATGTAGGGAGAACTCATTGCGAATGGAAATCATTAATGTTTTCTGATATTAGCTTGTTACCCATTACATCTCAGTGATATACTTTAGATCAGGGGTTCTTAACCGATGGTATCCATACACCTTGGGGGTATGGGAGCCAAATGCTGGGGGTATGGGACTCGATTTCTGGGTACTGGTACGTATCTGAGAAACAGGATTTTCTGCATTATTAAATCTTTAATCAAAATGGAGAAATCGACTTGATGTGTCAGATGACATGCAAGTAACTTTGTCAGTAACTGTACCACGATTCCATGCTTTGATTGCACAAAAACAACAGCAAATACCTCACTAGATTAGTAAAAGTCTGTTTTATTGTAGTCGAGATACTAAAAAAAAACTTGTACGTTAATGTTCTCCTCCTTTTTTTGTGTAATAAAACTGAATTATAACTTTATTTTGCTTTCAGTAAAAAAAATATAATAAAGTTATCAATGCTTATGGTTTTTTTTTTTCATGTTCTATTCCTAGCAATCCATATCTAAAGTACTGTAAATTCAAGCGATTGAAATGTTTGGAAGACATATTGGCAAATAATAGGATTGGGGATAATTATTTCGACATTCAAGTGAAGGGAATATAGGAGCATATTGGATAATCCATTGGGGGTCTGGAATAATCAAAAGGTTAAGAACCCCTGCTTTAGGGATTTAGTTTGGTTAGATCACTTTTGCATAACGCCGTAAGTGTGTGGAGTCAGGGAGAATCGAACACGCTACTACTAACCTTTTAAACCACGGTTTGAGGTTTTCGATATATTATAAGGATAGCTCACTCTAGCCAAATTGTGTGCACCCAGTTAGGATCGAACTCAGTGAAAGTATTCATGATCTGCGAGATGAGTTTTTATAAGAGACGATCAGGTATTTTTAGTATTGACTGTTATAATTTATCTCTAGCGATAAACACTAGTAGCATGGTTAAACGCTTTTGATGCCTTTTCATCAAGTGTTTTATTTACTATTACTAATGTGCAAAGAATGTGGACTAACAGATTGTAGCAAAATATAAGACGTAAAAAAAAACTTGCCTAACGACAGGAGAGTTTCGAATATAGTAATATAATCGGTTATATATATACCTGAAAAGCACTGGAACATATTCATATCCTGCACTTTTCATCACCAAAACAGCTTTAAAAAAAATCACTGCATACGTTTGTTCTGCGCATGCCTATATCTTTAGTGCCGACTAGTGTCTTTCAAGGTTGAAAATGCGTTTAGCAACTTACACCTTACTACTTGGATAGTTAAGGTATTTTATGAGAGAGTGGTTTTTCAAATACTTATGAAAGTATCGCGCAAAGTGAAGATTAACAGTCTTAATCGAAATTCGAACGCCGCTCGCCGGTTTTACTTCTTGCGATGGTAACTGCGCCAATTTACACCTCCTAGTTTAAATTCATTTAGACTTTTCATAACAATAGCAGCGCACAAATATTTTAGTAAGTCATAAAAATGTTGAAACGGAAAAGGTTGAGGTTATTAACACAAAAATATTAACATTTTCAATGTTTATTATTTGGATAAAAATTTGTTATATTTTCGACCACGAAACGTCTGAGTAATCTTTTATAATCTTTTATAATCATCTATAAAATCCAATGAGATTAAAAAAAAAAAAAAAAAAAAGAAAAAGAAAAAAAAAACAAAAAGAAAAAAAAAACAAAAAACGAAGCAAACGATATTGCACTTAACAATAGCATTTTTATCTCTTCCATTTAGAGAGCTACTTTTCCCCAAATTGCATTGTATGTGTATTCATGGTGTAAAATTATAAATAGATATTTCATCGGCTTAATCCGGCATAAGACCGAATGTGGAGTGGAAATAATGACAGAAAGATTGCGTTGCACCAATCTTCCAAGAGAGATAGATCTATTTGTCTTGAAAATCAGTATCCGAAATTCGAGTTTTGATTTTCGGTGCCACATTAACAAAGAGGTCCCTTTATAAGAAGAATAGTTTTTATAAATATTTATTAAGGTCTTTAGACTGAATCAAGGCCGACGGAGATTGGACATCAGTGAATATCGGACTCAATACAGTAGCTAAAGTTGTGCCTGACCAACTAATCATTGCTCTAATGTAAACATCTTAGGTTACTGTAATCCTTTACACATTATTGCTAACTTATGAAACAGTTAATAAAAGAAGCGTTAAAATAATCAACTGAGGAAAAAATTCCCAAATATTCTTAAAAGTATGCTTACTTCACGAATGTAGTTTATATTTGAAGAGCAATGCTGAGAAAAGGTACTATTTTTTAAAAAGACATGAGTTGAGAAACTATGTTATTTACGTTAAAGTGCTAATAGTATCCCTACGCCACCAAATAATTGAGAAGGCATGGGAAAACAAGACGCGTTTGAAGGTATTCATTTTGTTTCTAACAATATGTATATTTTTTGAGTAAGTTGCAGGAAATTGACACAATTATTAATTGATTTTCTGAATTTTTTAAAGTCTTATTTATTTATTTTTTTTTAAAAAGCGACAATGTGTTGAATGATTTCAGCTTATGTATTGTTTGGAAATGGTAATCGCTTTTTTTTCTTCTATTCTTTCAATTATGTTTATGTACACATACATACATGTACACAAGCTTAAATCATCACACACACATTTCACACACACACACACACACACACACACACACACACACACAGACACACACACACACATATATATGAGTTTCTGCCTCCTTTTCACAGACAGAGATACACATTTACTGCACATACACACATATAAGTACGCATTCATGACAAGCATACAAGGATCCATAAATGGTTACACACGTATATTTGTTTAATTTGGGCGATTTACTTATTATGTATGATCAAACTATACGTGTGAATATATACACACACACAGACACAATCTGAGTATCTTTGGTTATTATATAATATAAGTATTATATAATATTTTTATATGATATATATCAGTATATATTTATATAATATATATATTGCATATCGGTATATAAGTATATATATATATATATATATATATATATATATATATATATATATATATATATATATATATATATATATATATATATATATATATATATATATATATTATAATAGAGTAGATTCCGATTAATCGGTACAAGAAATAGCCGTTTTGTAGGACCAGTTGTGTAAGAATATAATGATACGTATGTAGTATTTTGTCCTTTTAATATAAATCCGTTTAAAAGGGACGACCGCTTAAAGGGACCAAAATTCATAGTCACGATGTGTTTCGTAAGCGGAATCCACTGTATATGATATAAAGATATATTTCATATATATATATATATATATATATATATATATATATATATATATATATATATATATATATATATATATATATATATATATATATATATGTATATATATATATATATATATATTTATATATATATATATATATATATATATATATATATATATGTGTGTGTATGTATGTATGTAAATAGTTCGGTATTTATTCAGCATTGAAGTATGAATTCTGCATGGAATACAATTTGTCGATGGGGTTTATCACAGGCCCTGGGGTGAGGTTGTTATGCGAACTGGATTCTGTCATCAGGACATGGTCAATGTTGTCCATGCTTTCGTCAAGTCCTCCGTCGGAATAAAGTTGACTTTCGCTCAGTGGTGGTTGGTTGGAATAAAGCTGGGTACCTAGAAAAAAGCAAGAGACAAGACAATCAGATAAATTGTAATCAAGCTCATCACCCCACCACAGACACAGAGTGTTAAAAGAAAATGTAACTCTAAACACGACATGTAATCTCGGTATGATGTAAAATGTCTCATGGTCGTGGCATCACCGACTAAAAAACTTCAACCTTTAGATTTTTCTGGTGAGGTGGGTGGCTAGACAGTCAGCAAAATTAAAAGCAAGACTTGCCAAATAGGTTATCAACGTTTTTGTAAGGTTAACAACCATCAGTGTGGTGAAGTCATGGCGTCGCCGAGCCCAGGATTTCCTAGACGGGTCATCAGCCTGAGCGAAGGTTTCTTTCAATGGAGTTACATATTCGTGTCAGCATTCATGTTAAAGGACATCGGCTGTGGTTTGACCTGAAGAGGGATTGGCTGCGTCAGGTGTACTAGTGCTAGCCCAAGACTCACTACGCATGAATGAATACCTATCCAGCTTTGAACCTTGATACGTGGAGAGAACTAGTCAGGTACTAAGCTGCGCAGTGACCCGACGACCATGCCCGGTCATGAGAATGATGATGATGATTAAGAAGAAGTTCAAACAATGTTTAAAATTGTGCTGAAACTAGCATAATGTTTATAATATATTGATGCCAGCATTTAAAGTCTGACAGAATTGATATCTATCTATCTATCTATCTATCTATCTATCTATCTATCTATCTATCTATCTATCTATCTATCAGTACACACACACACACACACACACACACACACACACACACACACACACACACACACACACACACACACACACACACACACACACACACACACACACGGCATTGGCTAATACCTCCAACGAATGGACGGGCGGATCTGTCTACGAAACTCTGAAATCGGGATACTGAATATAGCATTAATCCGTTAAGTGAAAACCTTTTATTTGTATTAATTCTCTCTCTCTCTCTCTCTCTCTCTATATATATATATATATATATATGTCTGTGTGTGTCGACATATATATCGTTTCAAATTTGCAAGATATATATATATATAGAGGAAGAGTGCTCAATATTGGAGAGAGCGTTTATAGATACAGTGTCGACATAAGAATCAACACTGCATGGTAACTGTTAGTTTGACTCTCCACTGCGAACAGTCTGAAGATGGCAGTGAGGCGTAAAACTGGCAGTCTGCATGCATTGTGAATTCCTATGATATACTTCACAAAGAACTTTTGTTGGTATTCAACCGAACGGCATATATAAAAAAGAATATTTTACTTTCCAAAAAAGGGGGGAAAATATAATAAATTACAATGATCAATGCTTAAATAAAGCAGAACAACCTAAGATCGTATTAGAACAAACGCTATAAATTCTAGCAAATATGATTGCGTTTTCAGATTCCTCACGCTTTCAGCGCAAGAGCCAATCCTAAGATGCAGAAGACGAAAGTATACATGATAAGACTTTCTGTGTTCCTTGTTTCAGCACTATATATATATATATATATATATATATATGTAAGAAAAACAGACAAAAAACTAAGAACTGTACTCAACGATACAAACGTTTATGATTAAATCGATGAACATAAAATAATTTCCTAAAGACAAAAATTCCACTGAGCGATGAAAAGTTAATAAATTATGAGAATATAAACATGGTCAAAATTGATTGAATATCAACCTCAAATACTCAGACTTTATGACACAAAGCAAGTATTTCATTCGACCTCAAATATCTAGGATTGGAAATACTTCACACACACACACACACACACACACACACACACACACACACACATATATATATATATATATATATATATGTATCCAAATGAGAGAAAGAACAAATGGAGTAAAATTCCACTTTTTCGTAGCATTTACTTTCAAAAACTGCTCAATATAAAGTAGAGCAAATTATTATTATTATTATTATTATTATTATAAGCGATTATAATAAAACATGTTGAAATCACTACAGAAAAGCTTTCATGTTTCAATACTTTGATTGTACTTCTTCAGTAAGTAACTGGTGATTAAATCGCCTGAAGAGGTACAATTAAAGTACTGAAACATGAAAGCTTTTGTTAGCTTTTATATATATATATATATATATATATATATATATATATATATAAAAACATTTTCAGAGGGGGCACGTGTTTGAGTTGTTACACCTGTTTTTTTTAATTTTTTTTTTATTAATAGCATCCGACCTAAATTGTGAAGTCCTACTAAAGAAAAAATCCGCCTCTAACAGAAATCGAACCTGCATCCCCAATAAGGCGTGTCATTGCCAGTTCGGCAGTGGAGCCTGACTGACAGGGCAAAGTCAGAATAAACTGTTAAAGAAAAACGTTGTTCTCATTGAGACTTCTACGAATCTCGATCTGCTGGTTTCAGTTTCCTACCCGAAACGTAAACAACGTTAATTTATTGAAAGAATTTTTTTTTCATTAGTCGTTATTTCTTATTACTATGAACGTGATTTTCAGGGGGTACACTTGTTTGTGTTGTTATCTCTGTTTAATTTTGTTTTATTACATTAAATAATGAAATTTAATAACAATCGGCCTAAATTTACTAAAGAAAAATTCAACCACCAGAGAAATCGAACCTACATCGGCCTTTTTTTTCTCCCAGAGAAACCACTTCTTAAGCCGAGGCGTGCCTCTACCAGTTTGGTCACAGAATCTGACAGGACAAAAGCAGAATAAACTATTAAAGAAAACATGTTTTTCTCGTTGAGGTAACAACTTAAACACGGGCACCCACTAAAAATAACGTTTATAATAATAATAATAATAATTATATATATATATATATATATATATATATATATAGAGAGAGAGAGAGAGAGAGAGAGAGGGAGAGAGAGAGAGTCAGTAAAGACATAGAGGTCAACACTATGGTAACTTAAGGCTGACAGTCAGTCAGACTGCAGTGTTGATTTCTATATTAATGCTGTTTACATCTACAAACGCTCTATTTTCGATATTGTTGCTTCCCTCATAAATGTAACAAATTTTAAATTATATATATATATATATATATATATTAAATTACATGGAATAAAATACAAAGATACCTCATTCAAATAGCTATTTCGATCCACAAGATATTACTTGTAGGTCTTGTCAACTCAGAGATATAAAGAAATATCATCATGTCTCTGAGTTGACAAGACCTACAATTAAATCTTGTGGGTCGAAATAGCTATTTGAATGAAGTAACTTTGGATTTTTATTCTATGTAATTTATATGCGCTGTTATAATAAATACATTGAGCTCTTTTTGTGGATCAGTTTTAATATTTTATATTATTAGGATTCACTTGGATTATTTACTAGCGGATTATGTGTGTGTGTGTGTGTGTTTAGAGTATCGTTTGTGTTTGGTTAAGAGATGTTGGCTGTTTAGTTTTCTGTCGGAGCATGAACACGGGACACACGACGGGTCGAAGCGTGTGGATGTAACTTAGGACCATTCATGAGACAAGCAAGCTGGTCACATGGAACGCTGGGGTGTGAAAGGCGCACTCGTGCTTTCACGGTTGATGGACAAGCATTCTTGCGAGTTAAATTTGACATCGTTAGAAACAAGTTTGATCGCTAAAATGTCTACGGTTGGGGGTGATGCGTGTGTACCTTCACGGTTGAGTGAGGGTTTTATTTGCAACGTAAAAGGATCGTCTTTGAGCACCAACAGAAGGCTTAGCAGTCGTCCGGAAGTTAAACGCGGGCCTCATTTTGTAGTCAAATGTCGTGGTTTCATTCCCACTTCAGCTTTGATATATCTGACTGATCTCCGGTTGATATCAAAGAAGACACATTGGGTCAGAGAGTGCATCTGTTTGCCATGGTTCGCCCGCAATGTGATGGAAAACCAACAAAGCTCGATAGTATTCCGAGTTATTATTGGGACACCGTAGGTTTGTTGCAATGATGCCGTCGCCCCGAAAACATGACTAAATCCAAGAGAATCAACGGATGAAAGCTTTGTTGGAGGCACTGTTGTTGTTGTTCCAGCAATCGTCGTATGAATTTATAAAATAAAACAATACGACGAAAATCATTGTAGTGGAAAGAGAAAAAGGAAAAAAGAAAATCCTTTATTCTCGTGTTTTCTAGCCGCATCAAATAGCAGAGAACTTCTGGTTACTTGAACCTTAACTTCAGTTCACTTTGTGTTGCTCACCAATGACTTGCGTTTATCCACAGCTACTTACAAATGGCTTCAATCTTTGCTGAATGAGAATCTCAAAAAAGAAATAGGATCTAGTAATAATCAGAGTACTTAATATATCCGTGAAATACGAATAGATTTAGATTTAGTTGATCTAATATTAGCTTTCTACACACGTTCTGGAACCATCTCTCAATTGCTGTTGTTCCCAGGTCCATACTGACTCGGGGTTGTAGCACCTGTTCGGGTCCCAGCTATGGGTAAATAGAGAATAGTATAAAATTACATTTTTATAGTAAAAATACCAGCAATACGTTTATTGTTGTGGTAACCCCCCCACCTACAGTAGAATGAACTCTTCCTCCTCTCATAAATACTAACCGCGGGACTTCCTAGTGGCAGTCGGCTGGAAAGCGGAGACGCAGTGTTAACCTACCGTTCGGACGTACACCTCTAATCTGTTTTTACTAACATTCTTGCTTTGTATATATATATCTATTATTTCAATACACTTGTTCAAACTACCTTCGTCTTCCATGTCTTTAGTTTCTAGCCCCTAAACAGGCCACAACGTTTATATATATATAAAAAAATACCAAAAATACATATTTATAGAAAAATGATCAACAATACGTTATTGTAGTTGAAGGCATACACTTGCATACAAAATATTTAGATTTCAGCATTAAATAACCCATAGAGGTGTTGATATGCCACTAAACAAAATCGACCAAGCAAACATCCAACATGAAAGAACTCTAGCATGACATTAATCCATATAATATCCTATAATTTCTCAAAACATACATATCACTGCCTTTAGTAATTATGTCCACACAAACATGTATATGCACAAAAGCTGAGTATCATATACCGTGTATTCAGTTGTGAAAGCAAAATAACATATATCATATTTTGATTACTTCAAATCTCACAAGAAAATTAAATCTCGGCATTAAATGACCCATAATGGTGTTAATATGCCGTTAAACAAACAAATTAATCAATCTACGCACGTTCGATTATCCTGCGTGATGTAATGAAATCATTTTATATCAGTGTGTGCTATCATATAAACTGAAATCAAATAATTAATAAGGAACTTTGTTAACAAACAGATACAATGAGAAATCGTTTTTGTTTAAATTTGTAGGCTATATTATAGTTGAACATATCAAAAGTTGAATCAAAGCGATAGTGCCTTATTTATAGTTAATCGTTTCGATGTGGCATTTTAGAAATTTCAGTCAGGAAAGAAATGAGGCAAATAAATTTTGCATTCATAGGCCTATACTATAAAATGTAACATATATTAAATTATAAACTTTAATTTGTATTTGTAGAGTAAAATGTATCAAACAGTTTATATAAAAAAAAGAAAAAAAAAACAATGCAGAATATTTGTACCAGGAAAGAACATTTATTCCATTAAGTTTCATAATAAATCCCCCCAACCCCCTCCAAAAAAAAAACAAACCCTCAAAAAAACCCTCAAAAAAAAAAAAAAAAAACGGCAATTCGTAGGTTTTTAATAATTTCTCTAAATGAAA